ACACGCACGTACACGCGGGTACACGCACGTGCACGCGGGTACACGCACGTACACGCACGTACACGCGGGTACACGCACGTGCACGCGGGTACACGCACGTACACGCACGTACACGAGGGTACACGCACTTAGCTGCGAAACGCCGGCCGATTGCGTTTCTAGCAACGTACGCGCTACCGTGCCTTCCGTCATGCCTCTGTGCGCATGTGCAGTAGGTATACGTTTGATTTGGCGATAGACGAGCCTCGGCACTTGCTCGATAGACGAGCCCCGACAATTGCTCGATAGACGAGCCCCGACAATTGCTCGATAGACGAGCCTCGGCAATTGCTCCATTCCATGATTCAATACGCCTATTCAGTATTCGTGCCTTTGATTTGTCAATTCGTCAATTCGTCAAATCGTCAATTCGGCGATTCAATTTGGCAATTCGTTATTTTGGCAATTGCTCAATCAATCGATCAATTGAACAATCAATCGATCAATTAAACATTTGAATGATTAAATTGACTGTTCAATTGAACAATCAATCGATCAATTGAACGTTTGAATGATTAAATTGACTGTTCAATTGAACAATCAATCGATCAATTGAACGTTTGAATTTTGACACATATCCCCTCCCATAAAATTATGTACGTAGTTGCTGCAACATTGAGCAATTCGTGTACATTATCACCTCATAGATTATGTAGCCAGCTAAAAATCGATTTATAAGCAGAGGGATATCTGTGAACACATGAGTGTGGCAAATCAAAGGGTGGTGGCTGCATGGGCAATAACTTAACTTAATTCGTAAGCAAATGCTGCTAAATTGCTACATTGTATATGTACGTAGTAAACAGATAGGGAAAACAGCTAGGGGTGTGTGTAAAATACAATGAAACAAGCACAAAAACACGCATATTTTTAGACGCTCAAACTCACGCACACACGCATACAGGTATTGATAATTAATTATTTTTCAGATCATATGCGTATATGCGTGCGTGCGTGCTTGTGTGTTTGCCTGGCGGCGCACGCGTGTGTTTGTGTGAATGTATGTCTGTGCATGCGTGCGTGCGCGCGCGTGTACGTGTGCGTACGTGTGTGGAACCTAAAAAAGTTTAGCCACGTTACCGCATAGGATAAAATAATATTAATATCGTTTTGTTTATGTAATTGCGATTTGTGATATTTGTGAACTGTAATTTATAGATTTTTAAGTGTAACTGTTTACTATAGCTGTCTATAATTTGTCAATTAATCATGGCTTTGCTTTAAACGTATAATTTAAATATGGTTCCACGTTCCCATTGTTTCCCGAATAGTACATAGCAACGTTATTCTACAACGTAATTATGGTATTTTGCAAATTAATGTCGCGAGAACAGGTTGAAAACCATACAAAACGCAGAAAGTTACACAAAACGTCTTCGGAACCTAACTGTGGCTAGGCTGGTTGGGATGGTCATAGCTACTTACCTGTGTATCTGAGCGGTTGAACATGCTGTCATTTGTTTACATATACCCTAGTGGCTAGTGTTACGTTGTGGTTTGTGCACGTACTCGCTACTTGTTTTGTTAAGTAGTATTTACTTCAAGCCGTTGTTATGTAAATACGTGTTTTCCTTGACGCCATGTTTGGAAATTCAACCAGGTAATAAGGCTCGCGTGCATACTAGTTTCATGTAAACATATATTACAGTGAACGTATACGCTACAGTCTGTCACGCCTTACGTAAGTATTGTACTGAGAAATGGTTGATGACATCGGGTTCTCGTAGAGTCGACAGCGTAGTATAGCTATGTAGCAAATAGCAGATTGTAGCAAAGTAGATGAGATGTAGCGAAGAGTCGTCCGGCAGATGATTACAGAGTCTTGTTATAGTCAGGTTCCGAATGAGACAGAGTCGCAGATTATTTGTAGGTAACTCTGTCTTTATTACTTGACACACATACAAATATATACAATACCACAGCCTAGGCAACCGTGCCTAGGCTCCGGCGCCTCGTCTCGATCTCTCTCCTACACACACACACACACACACACACACACACACACAC